CCCCCGAGTCTGGCCCTGCCGCGGGCGAGAAGGGCCCGCAGTCCTGCTGCTCCTCCGCCCGCTGCTCCCCGCAGCCCGGCTCCAGCCACGCTGGAAACCTCCCCCGGGGCGGGGCAGCAGGGCACTGCACGCTATCGCGGATAACACTGCAATCAGGCTAGGCAGCTGCCTACCAAACCAGGAGCACCCATGCAGCCTGTAGGCTTAGTAAGTCTCAAAATTTGACTTGCAGCCAAACCATGACTCATAGGCATGAGGAAAAGGAGCAAAAGCTGCCACCTTTTACTCCAGCGGTCTAGTAGTTACGACACCTACTCAAGGGACAGGACAAGCCTTGAACCTGCTTCCTGTCACAGACCCAGGACCTTCTCCACCCTTCCTCTTGAAGCTGACCCACTGGGGAGCCAGAAAAGGGAGATTATGGAAGCCAGGAGCAAAAGAGTAAGCCAGTACACCTGCAGGGTTATGTTATTTTGCCATAGGAGGAACTGAAATCCCAAACAGTGTTTAAGTGCCAAAAACTACAGTTCTGTAGCTGCACATGTGCTATTTAGGCATGTAAATCAAAATAGGATTGAGACACTAATCTCTGACCTATTTTCCTCTTTTGTAAAATGGGGTCAATACGTATTTCAGAAAAAAGTATTGCAAGAATTCAGTATTTACAGTGTGTGCTGGTTTTCTGGTTTGAAGTATGTACGAAGCAAGCTATTCTGGCTGTAATGTAGGGCTGAGCCAATATGATTTAGGTTTAGAAACTAAAATCCCCAAAATATGATGAACCACAACATGAGGCTCATTCACTTTTAATTTGATTAAACTGTATGCTGAACTCCATACCTCTAAAGCAGCTGGATTGGAATGGGAACTAAAAGGGTGGGACTTTACAGTAAAGAGATCTTATCTTTCTGTCTTGAGACATATACTGTATGTCATAAAAATATCCAGGTACAAAATCTTTGTATTGACTGTAGTTATCTGAATCTCTACTCCAGGATTAATAGTGGATACTTAGTGGTATATCTCTGTGCCTTCCTGCTATCTGGAGAAGGCTTGACAAGGAGAAAAATGTAGTGTAATGGAAATTAGGAGGGGTGTTGTACCAGGATTTAACAAGGCCTGGATGGGTCACCTCATTCCTTTAATTAAGCTGTTGGTTTTAAATTGTAATGCTAAGCAATATATTTTCCTGTTGCTAACTTTGGAACTGGATGTACTCCCTGCTGCTTCAGAGCCAGCAGAGGTGCCTGGCAGCTGTCTTTTATCTTTGCTTTTTTGCTGCTTTGCACAATAATACAGATTCTATAGGCAAGCTTGGTGTGTGGAGTGTAGACAATAATGCAGTGTAGACAGGATGGCAGCAGTATTCTGAAAGCATAAGTCAGCATGAGGGAAGAGGCATGTGTCAACACATACAGCTAGAATAATTATCCTGCAAGACCAAAGGAAGGAAAAAAGTTTCATTATACTGCTTCAAAGGCTTCCAGCTCTGTTTGTTTAAACAAAAAAGACCCATATTTGTTCTTAAGGACACATGCTTGCGTTAAAACAGGAATACCATTATTTTAATCCCTTTTTAACACCTAAAATACTGGTATTTTTTACTGCAATCAAATTTGGCTTGCAGGTATTGGAGACATTCTATTCCTGCAGTTGTCTTAGGGTTAAACTTTCCTCAGCTGCTGACAGTCAACACTGTTATGTACCAAAGAACGTCTACAGCTTTTTAATACCCAAACAAGGTCACGCTGTACCAGTTATCTAATTTTTACATAATCAGGGCAACACAGAAGCCCAGTATATCATAACTAAGTAGTACTGTGGCATTTTTAGATGGTTTAGAAGAAGCTTAGTAGTAAATGTTTGGATTTTCAATTAGGTCAGCTCCATATTTCCAGTGTGATCCCTAATGAGAAGAGGCATAGAGCCAAAGCTGTCAGAAAGCTGATTAGCTAAACTATACTTTTGTAGTAGTTACACTGTGACGCTGGAAAGATTTTGGAGACAGTTTAGATTAGAATCTCTTGCTCAGGGATGGGCAGAATATGACCCAGGGGCTAGTTCCAGTCCACCAAGGCCTGTGGTGGGTCCTTTGGCTTCCATCTGGCCTGTGGTGGGTCCTTTGGCCCTACCAGCAGGACAGCCCAGGCAGTGGCATGTGCGGCTAGTCCTCTGGGTATGGAGGTGCTTCCTGGTGCACAGCACAGCCCACCCTATCCCTACGCGTGGCTCTCAGGCACTTGGGGAGCTGTAGTCCACTGGGCTGGGCAGCACAGCAGGGGTGGCCAGATTTGGCTTCTTAGCAGCCTCCATTGCAGCAGCTCTGGCTGCCACTGCCAGTGATTCTGCTGCCACCAGACTTGGCCCCACTGCCTGGGCACCTGGCTCGTCCACTCTGCACCCACTGCTGGGGGTGCCAGCCAGAGTGAATGGGCAGGGTCTCCATGGAGATTGGCCTGGGACCCCCATGGGCAGGGTGCACTCGGCCAGGCAGAGGGGATGAGGCTGCGGGAGAGTCAGGACTGGTGTCTGTGAACAGGATGAGCGTATGGGGCCGGTGTCATACGGCAGTGACAGTGCGGGGCCAAGGCCTGGGGTGGAGGCACTACCTGCTCCCTGCACATGCCTGCCATGGGTGCCAATTTTGTAGTCAGGGGCTCGCTACTGTCTGTGGAACTGGCACCTGTTGCAGGGACATGTGGGGATTGGATCATGGCTCTGCCCCAGCCCTGGGCCCATGCTGTCACTGCCCTGCAATCCTGGCCCCAGCTCTGCCTAGCTGTCCTGCTCCTAGATACTGCTCCCTGCCCACCTGTGATCCCATCCCATCCTCCCTGCCAAGTGCACCCTGCCTGTGGGAGTCCTGGGCCAGTCTCCATGGAGACCCCACCTGCCTGCTCCATCTGGCACCCCTGGTGGTGGGTGCCAGGTGGATGGGCCCAGATAGGATAAACTGGCACCTCCTCCACCCCCCTCCTGTCCCCCAACAGCCATGATGGGGGGCTGAGGCCAGGTCAGCACACCCTCCCCCCCTGCCCTCAACAGTTCACAAAAACTCCTTAAGAGGCCCAAATAGTTGACCAACCCTACTTTAGCTTATTTCTTTTAGATTGGGGGCATCTACACGTGCGCTTTACTGTGGAGTTGACTAATTAGCTCCAGAGTAAAGTGTCACCGTCAACACATGTAGTGTGATTAGGTTGCTGTAAATGAATCAACTCTGATGTAGAACAGTACTGCCCGACATAAATGCTGTCCTATGGTAGAGTTATTTAGTGAATTGCAGTGCATGTGTAGACAATGACCAGGGCTGGATGGGGCACAAGAGTGCTACAGTGTGGGGCTACCTGCCAGCTAGCCCCTCACTGTAGTACCCTTGTTCCTCAGCCAGCCCCTCTGCAGCACGTTGAGCTGGGACGGACAGCTCTGGGCTGGTAGGCTGATTCCCTGGGTCCCCTGTCAGACAGGGCTGTGTTGCCCCAGCTCAATGTGCTGCGGTCCTGGGTGCACATATAAACACTGCACCTGGGAGCAATAAACTCTGGCACACACTGCACCGGAGTTCATTCAACCATACTAATTGCATGTGTAGATGCACCCATTGTTGCTGATTTCTAATAAGGGAATCTCTCTCACGTAGCCAGTACTATGTGCCCTTGATTTTTTTAAAAGTAATTTTAACATGTAAAAATTGTGCCAAAGATCCACTCTAGTAGATCACAACAAAATAACTCTTCTGTTACACAGAAGTCTAAATTGCGTGACTGAGCAGGTTCCTCAAAATTTGCAATGATGGGCAAAGAGCAGGTTTTCTCTGTCCACAATACAGTCCCAATGCACTTTTCTGTCCTATGTTTACTCTGTGATGATCATGAAACCTTACATGACTTGAAGTTATTCAACCTATTTCTTCTCCATATTTCTGAGGCCAGTCAAGGACACCACAGCAACGTGAGAGAGATCCAAACCCTGCTGTGGTTATCTAATAGCGGCTAATATGATACTGCAGTTGTATGGCATTTCTAAAGTGGTTTCTTCTTAAAATGTCACAAAAAATTCAAGCACTAGTTAAGGAAGGGGAAAACATATTTCATTTTAATTCCTCTCAAGTGTACATCTCTAACCTGAATGAATATTAGCAAGATTTGCACTTCAGTAGCACCCACCATTTGAGGATCTGATAGAAATGCATCTGTGTGTATCATCATAGTAGTAGTACTATTACAAAGTTTTAGCCTTAAATATATCTTAGAAAGGTAATCATCATTGCCCTATTCTAGAAATAAGGCAAATAAAGCACAATGGGCATGGCAGTTGGAAACAAAGAATCAAGAATGTGACTTGCCAAAAGTAAGACAGGGCTTGGAACAGCTCCCAAGTCTTTGCAACCTGCTTCAGTTAATGTATAACAGAATCCTTGTTGTACTGAAGTAAACTAGTTTAGAAACCTTGTGATCCTGCTCCTAT